AAAATGTGGGAGTAAGTAATTTCGAGAGAAATATAGACGTGATCAGGGAAAGTGAATGGGTAGAAAGAAAGTTTTGCAAGTCAATAAGCGAATAAAGCCTCCAGGAAAGCGATTTAAACAAGCTCGAAAGGCTTGAGGGAATGCGTAAAATTCGCATAAACCTTTATTAGAGTTAGCAAGTGCTTTCATTACGGCATAAACGATACAATAGAAGGTCGGTGCTCTGAGAACCAAACAGGGAAGTAATGAAATATAGCTTCTTAATTAAAGAAGGTCTCGGTTAATGGAGGGAGTTAAAGATATGGGTATGTTACGTTGGAATGAGCTATTAATCATAGCCAAAATAGTTGTATTATCAGTTTTAATAACGGACTGTGCGCGGGCGCCTAGAACGCGAAAGAGAGGTGATTAATAGTGAGGGGCGACGGAGGACTGGGGCGCTAAGTGGAGCAGATTGACTACACGGTGAGAACATCCGGGTTTTTAGAACATATATTGACTCACCGATAGTTATCAAAGCTATACTCAACGAATAATATGATAGCGAAAAACTACCTTAATATTACTAATTACAAAAAATTGTTCCTTATATAATTCGCATATAAAAGTTTTAAAACCGCTGCGATCGTTAGGAAACGAATATAAAAAGTGAATTACACTTATGTAAAAACCTTTACTATCATAAATTACAAACTCTATTAAAAATAAGCAACATCTTAAGTGCGGTACTTAAAAGGATAACTATCATCCAGTTATTCTATAAGTGGTTGTTAATGCAGAGTGGACGAACGAGTGGGTAAAGATGGATTATTATGATTATCTCACCTGTGTTGCAAGTTCAACCCATTAAATTAATAAACAGAAGGGTATAATATATAGCATTATTTAAAATAACCAAAAACTCTTTACCATGGCATTGTTCTCATTAAAATAAATAACATTTATGATACCGCTTTTCATTTCTTTTTTTAAATTTATGTAAATCAGTGTATGCTGATATACTATGTTTGTATGAGAAGTAGAACTATTTTTAAGTCATAACATAATATAAAGGTAAGTCATAATGCACAGACATGATGCACATTTGTGACATATCAACGCGCCAAGACGCCGTGACATGTCACGGGTACTTGCCACGTAAATGTGAACGATCTGTGATAATTTAGGAGACCGTAGCATTTCAACGCACCGAGATTCCGTCTGTCGCGTGTGGCAAAAACAAAAGTGTTGACGGTTGTTCACACCCGGACAAGGACAGAAAAATCCTTTGAAGAAACCGCATTCTGACGGACCGGGTTATAATATGTGAGATCGAAATGTGACTATACAAAATTACCGTCCACACTTACTACGATGTTAGTTCTTGTCACGCTATAAATGTATGACACGGTAAAATGCACGTTGGCACAGTTTCGAAGACCCCGGATCGTGGTGTAACGTTAGATCGTGTCAATTGTCTCCGTGACAAAAACCGTCCACACTTGTGTTTTTGTCACGCGTATCTGTTAAGGGCACGAAGTCCAGTGCGTTGAAATGTCACAGTTGTGGAACCACCTTTATGACAAAGTTGAGTGTGTCATGTAACTTTAAAAAATGTATATTTATTTTTCTTTATTTTTAACAAGGCCTTTAACACAGTGGTCAGTCAAAGAGTATTTTTGGATATAATGCGTAACCTATTACGTATCGGTCACGGTTGTCAACCCGCGACCATGGAGCATGAAACCATTCCAAAATATTGGGAAAATAAAAAGAACTCATATCGTGGTAATAAACCTGTAATTAATGATAATCATTTGTTAATTTCATGACATGTTAGGTGATTCTATTCGTCTATAAGGTCAACTTCTAATATCCTCTTTTTGGTAGATTAGGTTTGAACATCTAGTACGGAACAGCTACTACTTTTATCTAGTGATTTAAGGTGGTTTTAAATACCAAAAAGTGATGGTATTGATAAGTAGAATCATCACTAAAACATTATAAAATAGCAACTGTTAACCTATAAACGCATTCTTCAAAATATGATGTAGGTATGTACTGTAGAAGAGTTCGCGTGTATTTACAAAATCATACATAGTCTGTATCACATACATAAATTATTTCAAATTTAAAACTTTATAAAAAAAAGTGTTAACGCTTTTAAAATCTATTGTTTTATGTTTATTGAAATCAATGTGCGGATATAAATTTGTTTGTGAAATTGAACTATTTATGGGTTTTACAATAAAGTTGTTTGTGCCATGTAACTCTTTAACATAATATTTAAACAACACGAAACCGACCGGATCGTAGGAATTTTTTCTAAGTGTACGATCTTCGTATTAATAATTGTAAGAAACTAGTGGAGTGATTTCACAAAAAAATAATTGAATATCAATTCAATAAAAATTTAAACACGAAACTCGTTTAATCCAATAGTTACATACATAAGTACTTATAAAGTCACCTACGTACTTGAATGAAAAATTCCATCTCTACTTAATGTACAGTCAACAACACATCAAGCTATGCACTTTTGTTTGAAGATCTGTCAATGTGTAGCTTGATGTGCTGCCGTCTGTACATGATTTGCTTGTAAGCTCGCTTTGGTATAATCTTGCTCGTCTGTTCAAACTACTCTCAAACATTATTGAATGAATCTTTAGATTCACTTTTATTACGCCGTTACCAAAAGAAGACTATTAAGTAAGATAGTATTGAAACACCTAACTAAGTGATATATGCAAACATGTTGTTTAGAACGTCATAATGTATTTCAAGACTTAACGAATCCATTACCTACCCCGTATCTGCTGCTCCACGAAATCTGACGAATTTCTATAGTTATAAAAACAGTCCATGCATGTACATCATGGTGTCCCACGGCTATGCGTCACGGAGGGAAAGTACTTTATATGTTGTAGATAGAATATTTTACTCCATTGAGACATTATTTTATTTTTAAAAGTAAGTAATGCAATCAAAGACTTTTAAAAAGATCCTTGCCTTAACTGGGAGTTGAACCGACAATGTGGAAAAAAAAAAATGATACCTAGTGACGGGACAAACAAGTCGTGTGCCTGGTGGAAAGCGACACGCCTGTCCATAACAGCTGCAGAACTTTAAATCGCAAAGATCTGAGGGCACTCCCACTGCACCAGTCACCCTAAGACATAAGTTGACGAGTCCCCGTGCCCGTAATTTCCCCATTTACCAAATTGTGTAGGTACTAAAAATGTGCATTATATCGTAGGCTAGAAAGTAATATTCGACTTAATTACTACTTACTTTCCTCTAATATTCCTTCTAACAAAGGCGTATCTAATCTGGTCCAAACGACCTTATTAACGCACTACCCGGGTCGGCCCGTATTACACGCCACTAAATCATCGCTAATGTGGATTGCTTTGCGCTTCTCTGCCGAGTTGAAGTATAATGTGCACTAGGTTAACATCAGTTTTGCTCGTACGTGGTGCAGTGGACTTTACACTGTGAATACTCAGGTATAGTGATATAAGGAAACTTGAATTGTAAATAGGAAAAAGTAATAAAGATCTTTACAACTTCGAGAGGTCTGAGTACCTTTATCCATTCAATCTTTTAAAGATAAAATATAAAAGTACTACTAACTAGAGTTCCAATTAAGCGGCTAGTGAACAATTTTGTTTACTTTTATTTTAATTTTTTTAAGAAAAGTAAATAAAAGAAATTCCTTGCGGCAATAATGGCAGCTTTTTTTTTAGTTTCTTCTGTATAGATGTCTAACAAATGCAGTAATACATATAATATATACATTAAATTCATGTAATAATTCCTATTGTTAGTCACTTTCCCACTTATTTTTAATGTGCTATCTTACCCTATTAAAGCGGCTCCAAATGAAAACCAGCTTTACAACTACAGAAGAAAAGAAACAATGGTAGTGCCTTAAGCCTCGATTACTATCAGAACCTATATCTAGGATCAGAACCGATGTCACCAAAACTCACTCATGCTTAATTTGCAACACTACAAAATCTTGATATTGATTGGTCGTAGTTTCAAATGTAAAAACTAATAACAAACTCTGGATTGTTAATATAATTTAAAATTTACCCTGTTGGCATATCATTGAAAGGTCAATACCATCAATACCTATTATTACAAGTTACGACGTTTTGGTATTATATTGAAATTTCAATCAATGTGCTGCCATCTTGCGGTTCATTGCTGAACGACAACGAACTGGAGGTATTAATTTAGTTCTCCAAACAAGAAGTGACCATATTGCAGGGGTATGCTACGCTATGGTAAGCTTTACTTTCGTTTCTTGTAACAACAAAAAATATTTCGATGAGTTGGAAATTGGAAATTTATTAAAATAAGACTTTACGATGATATGAAAGGGTAATATTTTTGATGCGCCTATCGTTTTTGTAAAACAACGCAACAAGGCATTTTTCAAGGATTTTAGAGAATTTGCACGAAAGAATCACACAACCATAGTATACAAAGCAAAAATGGCGGACTGAGCTCAGATAGGTCTTTTGAGACCTATAGTTGGTACGCGTCAGAGGCCAACTAATAACTTCTACCGCATTTTTCGTTCTTTGGTTACAATAGTCGTGCTGTGATATAGGCTGAGTTGGATACGTTTGAGCTTATAATTCTAATTACTAATTTCTTTTGTACAAGTCTTAAGAAGCTGAATAAATGTTTCCCTGTTTTATTGTGTGAGGTATTATAACAAAGAAAAAAGAAAATAAGATGTTGGTAAAACTTTGTGGGAAAAATAAAATAAAACAATGTACGAGAAATTCACAACGATTTTATGATTTGCAATAGTGACGTCCCAAATTTATCTTCGTCAGAATATGGAAGTAAACTCAAGGCGCTACCTCGAATGCTCCAAAAGCAATTCCAAAAAGTGCAAATGCACTTAGAAACTTCTAAAGTTATTTTTCCAGGAAAAAACCTCACTCTTTACGAATAGGTACACAAAACGTACGTTGATTAAGTAATAGATTATGGTGGCTTACCCAGAGCGGCGCGGAGGGCTGTAACTGTGACGCGAACGCCATTCGGAACGCATCTCCCAATAACGTGTTTAATTCTTCCGCCTGCAACAATACCACAACTATTATTATACGCTAAGTTTAAAAAGAAGTATTTAAAAAATTACAACCTTTTTCAAAAGACCGAGTGCGTGCGTTTTTTTACTGTATTCTCTTAATTAGACGTAGACTCTCGTGTTGGTATAAATGTCAGATATATACAGTTTTTTCTAAATCGACACAGTTTTTCTCGTTCAAGATTTTCTCATCGCCGGTGAAAGGTTCTAATGGAACTCACAATGGTTACAAGAGGCGGCACTAAACCGCACGCCATTCAACGACATTTTGCAACCCTATTGAAGAAGCCTACCGACAAACCACAGCACTTAAAATCGCTTCCATTATGATTTCAATAGATCATTACTTTAGCCATTTTATTCGTTGCGCTTAAAATCGACAGGAAACTTCACATCAGTGTAGAATCCAGAGTTACATAAGCGTTTTTGATCAAAATACATACGTCAAGTGTCGGACAAAAGCGCGTTGAACATGATAAGTTGTCGCATAAAATAGACGAGTGTACAACTCAAGATCATGTTACTTTTACATAATGGACGTTAAGAAGAAGACATAAAGATAGTAATATCTGTTAAACTCGATGTGTGTAGTGGGTGTGATGTGAGTTGTGAGAACGCCCACGTGAAAGATGCAAAGGCGGTTGAGGATGTGATTTCATTCAGAAGCGCAGCGATTCTATTTATTAGGTACTGCATTATTATTAGCAAACACAAGAAAGTACGGCGTTAAAAAGTACTTACTTGTAGATATGTGTATTTGAGTAATGATTATCGGAAATGACGAAACTAATAAAGCCAACAACAGCCCACAAAATAATAATATGATAATAATTTTGAAAAGGAGAGAAAGTTTAATTAAATTTTAATGTAGGTATATAAGCTTTTATTTCACTATTTGATTTCTAATATGGCTGCAGTCTTATTGCAGTACCATGCAACCAATTTGTGTGACACCGATCAAGATGCCACACATTCCGTTTGAAACCTGAGAACACAGATACACGGCTCTCTAACGGAGTTCCGTTTGTAATGCTCTTTTTGTGTTACATTTAATCATTGCATAAAAGGTCTTTTAAGTACGATTCTGATACTAGTAGGTTATTCTAGCAAGTTGTTCTGAAATGGGGATGGGGGATGGCGGACTTCCCATCCCCATTTCAGAATAACCGAAACGGATACCGGATTCAGTTATAAATCTTTGCGAGGTTAATCCCAAACTCGACATTATTCAAGGCATGATTCGTCGCAGAAACAGCTTAGCGGCAGTTGGTTAATTCCCGCAGACAAACATCAAGCCGGCACGTGACGTCGCAATCTCAACCGCAGCTATTACGCCGCCAGAAGAAGCTCCGCTCGCTCCAATGGCGACGGTGTAATGAAGAAAACACTAAAACATCCAGTTGACGGCAAGTTGTATGGAAATGGCGAGGTGTACGTGTCACTATGAACAAATTGCTTTTGTAATTAATGAGTTTAATAAAAACTTGACTACGGTACTTGCTTTCTGCGTTCTTTTGGCTCAATGGCCTGACAGGAAAAATCTACAAAATTTATAAAAAAATTATAATATCAAGTGACGGGATGAACAAGTCGTGCGCCTGATGGTAAGCTACACGCCTGTCTATAACAGTTGCAGTGCCACTCAGAGCTTTAAATCGCAAAGATCTGAGGGGCACTGCGCCCATCACTCTGAGACATAAGTTGACAAGTCCCATGTGCCTGTAATTTCACCTTACTCATCAAAACCGAAACGTAACAATGCTAACATTACTGCTTGGCGGCAGATATAGGTAAGGTGGCAGTACTACCCTGGACGAACTCTTTCACAAGGAGCTCTACTGCTACTAACATAAAATAATAATGGCAATAGTTAGATTAATGGACCTCGGATAAATTAACCAGACATAAATTTGCTAAACATTAAATCTAACACAATGGCATAACAGAAACCTCGAGTCAACACAAACTAATTTATGGCTTAGCTCAGACTGTCCTGTTGGCTACTGGCAAATTATGCCGTCGCTAGGTAACGAGTAGTCTTGGCCTGTTTATTTATCTAATTATACGGCTGAGAGAAACCCGACAAAGTTGTAGAATTACCGTATAATATCGATCCTATAAGATTAATAGATAAGCGTTTAGACGCATGCGATTGGCTGCTAGCGGGTGCAATTACTGGTGAGGTTTGTAGCGCATAACTGGACGTTGTCAGTCATAGCAGTAAACCCGGTGACGATCGAACTTCATGAGCAATGCTGTAGAAGACTGCGGATTGATGATAAGTAAAGCAGACAAGCCACGTTACACAGTGCTTCCTAGTTTCTATTACGTGTCCATCATCCTTGAGAATTGTACAAGTATTCCGTTCCAAAGTAATGTGTTGCGGTCTTTATCTTGAACGTTTTTCATCAAATAATTGAATTCAAGTGAGAAATTCAACTGAATGGAAATACGTTAGAAGCAGTAGAGCTTCTTGTGAAAGAGCTCGTCCAGGCAAAGACTGCTACCTTACCAATTTCTACCGCCAAGCAGTTATGGTCACATTGCTGTGTTCCGGTTATGAAGGGTAAGGGTGCTGGTGAAATTACAGGTACATGAGACTTGTCAACTTATGTCTCAGGGTGACGGGCGCAGTGGCGGTGCGCCCAGATCTTCATGATTTAAAACTCTGAGTAACACTGCAACTGTTATGGGCAGGCGTGTGGCTTACTACCAGGCGCACGACTTGATCGTCCCGTCGCTTGGTATTATAAAAAAAAAACATGCACCTCACGACACACGATCCTGTCTATTCTTTCCAAGGTATTCGAATTCATCAATTCAGTTTTTCAATAAAAAATAGTTTTAAATTAAATAATTTGAGTGTCTGTTAGCATACTTTTACTACGCAACTATTAATTAAATTATGTAAAATAAGAAACTATGTATCGATGTCTTTGGAATGACTATGCGTAATTCAAAGTAGTTTAGTTTCTACTTTATCATCATCATAGGGTTGACAAAATAATTGCTAAGTATATCAAACGCTATAAGTTTAACAGAAATCGTTGCATAAATCTGATGGTTATGCAGATTTCTTAAGGACCATTTATTAAAACTAGATAGTTCGCTTGAAGCCAGTTTTAATAAATAAACGTGCAGTAATCCATCTCAGCGTTACTATAACCAGTATTTGCAGTGATTTGGTAATATTTTACCGAAATTAGAAATAAAAGAAGTAATAAATTACTCAATTAATTACTTGGCCGGTGGGGTCCCTCATCTTTACAAAAGAATTAATAGACTGCCTAAAAAACTCAAGGGCCGCTAGCTATCTTGCCCAACGTATTAGCATAGCTAACTAGCTACACAATCACTAATATAAAATATAAACTTAAATATTACTTTATAAACAACTTAAACAATTGCGAAAAATTTGATTGTTTATAAATGTATTCATCCTATTTCAGTATAATCTTTTAGTTAATTATTGATTATTTATACAAGTTAAGTACTTAAATATTATTGCTTTTCTGTTAGCTAATTGAACATATTTATATATTGTGTGGATCAGTTCGCATTACGACGAAACTAAGTGGTTTACAATGCGACTAGTAACATTGTTGCGTATTATGCTTTATATGGTAAATAAACAATAAAAAAGCTATACAAATGGGGAACGCTGCCAGCACCTTGCCGCGGGATTGATTGCTTGATTTTATTTATATAATTTAATCCTAGTTTCAGTTTCTAGTATTCTATCTTTTATTGCATTTTTTTTACGTTACCTATTTTAATAAATAAATAACTTAATAAATCGCATATGCAATCAAATACTGCCGTAGTTCAAAATTGTAGAATTGAGAAAACACAATTAGATATAAAAAAGAAACTGAACTGATCTTATTGCGAATAATGTGATATGATAATGTTTGGCACTGGAATTGTTAGGGACAAGCGTGTCGCTTACCACCAGGGACACGACTTGTTCGTTCCGTCACTTGATATTACAAAAAAAAATCCATTCATACGTCACTTAATTATCCATGTACACGAAAATATGTATATTAGTTTCATTCAGTGTTTTTTCTTTATTATATCGTTCTTTCTCAATTCCACAATTTTGAGCTACGGTAGTATTTGGCTTCGTAAACGAAATTACGATATTGACGACTAACGTTCTGTCATATTCTCTGTGCAGGCTTTTAACTGCCTCCGTGGCCGAACGGTTACCATGCCTCCCAGGCCGGGAGAAGTATGTCTAAAACCTACATTTATTTCTTTCGCGAGTTTGTGTGTAATTTCTGATTGTCTATGTGTGTATCAAATATAAAAAAAGAAAAATTATCGAATTTGCCAATATTTGTACCTGTGTGGGCAGTCATAAAATATCCTATTTATACTGAACGACCTAATTTTCACCGCTAAGAATTACGCTAATTGCGCAGTTACATAAAGATATGCGTATAACATAGAAGGATATTCCTTAATGGAGACCAGTCTAAAGATATTACTGATTAAAGATGCATGAGGATCATTTTTCATTCGGATCTAAATATGTTTATTTTATTATTAAGGAATAACAACAGCCAACTTAAATACATCTAACAACGAAGAATATTTGTCTTAAATAATTTGGGTCAAAATAGTTATCCACATTGACATAAATTTTGAAGCCTTATAAACAAACAGAACAAAACAAAATTAGTAGTGAGCTTAGAGAATTTTAAATTTTAATTAAAGTCGACGATTACTTATTTGTCGTGGTGTTACATATATTAATAAGATATACTTAATATATAAGTAATGATATAATATCGATAAAATATATTTATATAATTATAAAATAAACTTTTAATTAGTTATTAAAACATTTAGAAAACATGTGATATATGATAGATGTTACGTATCTACCTAATTGATCTACAAAGTTAACATTTTTAAGAAACCTTCTTTACTACCAATGAAAGGGTCGACTTTACTAAAGTGCACATTATAACTGTTGGCCAT